CGAAATACTCACTCTCTAGACCCCTCTCCCTGTGGGACGAATTCGCAAGTGACAGAACGAGCTTGCAATCCAACGGACGAGAGAGTGTAGTAAGGTTTTCAATGGCGGCTGCCTCCGGGGCCGTCAACTCCAAGTCACCCAAACCGTGAAACCTAGACGGTTTAGGGCACCAATAAAATGGGAATCTTGGCAAACCACCGAAGTGGAACACCTCATCCTCAAGAGGGTCAACACCCACAAGAGCGACGCGGAAGAACTCCTGTTTAAAATTTTTATATGATTGGGAGTAGAGAGTAAACAGACCCCCATCCCTACTCCCATTCAAAGACAAAATGCCGTAAGGCGAAACGCCTATCTTCAGTTGACAAAAATGAAGAAAGACGCGAAGAGACACCTCTATCCCCAAAACTGTACACAGGACCTGAAAAGCCCTCAAAAAACCCCAACTATTGGGGTGCAACTGGCAAGGAGCCGAGTTGATGAAGTTTAAAAAATCACACTCAAATTGGGTGAAGGGAAGACAGACACCTAGGTCCCTAAAAAAGCATCGGTATACATAGAAATGGGGAGGGTCGGTAGGCTTCCCCATATACACGCCCTCATCGGGCCGACAAGGCTCAAGCCGAATCATGTGGGAGATAGAAGGATCGCAAATCTTGTGCGCCCTCTGAACTGCATCAATCTCAAGGTCAGACTGGAAGACACTTTGGACTCCCCCCATCTCACGCCTAACCCAGTCATACCCAGGAATGCTTGGAACGAGATCCGACGGCGGCGCCACCTCTTTCTTCTTCTCAACAATAGCCACCTTGGCAACCGCCGTCTTACCCCGCGCCCTTCCTTTACCCTTGGCGGGCACAGAGGAACCAACACCACTCTCCCCAGCCATAGAAGAAAATAAGCAAGAAAGACTCGAAAAGGACTTGGGAAAAAAGAAAGGAGAAAACGGCAGAAAGGAAGTACCTGGTACTCCTCCTCAGAAAAGAACTCGAACAACGAGTGGATTACCGGAAATGGAGAAAATGGAGACGGAGGACGATAAACAACGAAGGAAGCAGCGTACACAAGAAGTCAAAGAAGCAAAAATGAGTAAAGTGAAAGGAGAAAAGGCACGAGAAAGAGAAAAAGGGATTTTCTAAAACTCAAACGGCCACAACACGTGTCAGCCAGGGGACGCACCTGAACGTGCAATAAATAAAACCCATTATGACAAAAAGAGCCATTATTGCGTAACTATCACACCCATCAATGTGCCGGCCTCGATTATCGAAATAAGAAACGACAGCCACGACACGTGACATCTTAAGCAGGCCAGCGTACGCAAAAAGTCATTCCCATCCAACGAGCTCGGCCTTAACTCCTCGACCTATGGTCTTCGGAGCTCGGGGGGCTAGGGTAGCACCCGCATTGTGAAACCGAGCTCCGAACTCAACCTTAACCCCAGCTAGAAAAGCTTTCGGAACTCGGAATGTCACCCACCTCAATTCGGATCTCTCCCTTAACTTGCAAACTCAGATGGTGCCCTCTTTTGCCTCCATAACCTTTAGAGTCTTTGGCCAGGAAGGTTAAAACGAGGCACACCTCAGAAATAATCAACGAAGCGATTCCATTTCCATACAATTTCGGAATTCGCACATTAACCGTGACGCCTAACCAAGGTCGAGTCTGAACCTTGAAGATCACATCTACTTAACTAGGTCAAATTTGAACCTCCAAAACAACGAATTTCAAGACTCCTCAAGAGCCCCCTTGCTCTTACATCACTCGGCGATAATGAAGCAAAGTGTACTGGCCAGTCGAGTTGCAAACTTACCAACCTAGCCAAACAGTAAGCTCATTATTGCCGAGCTTCTCAACCCAACCATGGAACGTGGACACCGGAACACCACATCGGCCCAAAGAGGCCACACCATCAAACAAGATAAAAATGTAATCTTGTCACCACACCGCCTGCACGTTTCCGAAAACAAGACAATAGGGATGACACCTAGCATCCCGACAACGCGAACATACGCGGAAGGCCACGGCCGCTTAGCAAGCTCAGACTTAACTCCTCGACCTACGGTCTTTAGAGCTCGGGGGGCTAGTGTACTATCCGCACCGTAAAATCGAGCTCCGAGCTCGGCATTATCGCGCGAGGGGACCTCGGGCATGCGTTATATGACGTCAGCTCATCATTCAAGTAAATCATAACTGATCCCAGAGAATCTCGCCCCAGGCGAGATATATTATCTAATCATATCTTATCTAATCTCATGCCCAAGGCCCGCAACAACCCTAATCCATACCAAGGTACGTGCATTATTTATACGAGACATATACTCATACAAACCCTAACTTTAGCATCGGAGTCTCTTTTGCAGGTACCAACCCCATCTTGACGCACCAACGTACCAACGAAGGAGGCTCACCGATCTTACCTGGCAGATCAGCTCTACAGCAGATTTTCGGTAAGAACAATATATATATATATATATATAT